TGCTGCTGCTGCTGCTGCTGCTGCTGCTTCGAGATGCCGCCTCGTCTCGCGCTTTCACAGCAGTGTCGCCTTGACGCTCAAAGGACCCCGCTGCTGCTGGTGCTAGATCGGACTGGTGGTGGCAAAGCGTGGCAATGGGCGTGGAGAGCATCATGGCGATCCCGCCGGATGCTGTGCAGAGTAGAAGCAGGGATGAGCGGCATGACAGCTTCTCAAATCAAACTCAGACGCGCCAACAGAAGAAAATCCCAGCTCCGCCTTTCGAGCTGCCACCCTGGCAGTGCAGCAACGAGACTCGACTGCTGCTCGTGCAGAGACAGCGGCACGCAGCACTTTCATCGAAGCACGCTCTTCTTCCTACACTAAGCTTTTCCATTGCTTCTGAGCTTGTTGTGTTGCGGGTGGGGGGGATGGTGGGAATGGGAGTGGGAGTGGGAGTGGGAGATGCAGAGCTTAACTTCGAAGAGGCGGCAAAGGCAAGCCGGAGTAAGCCAGGTGCATGGATCCCAAGGTTCGAGGTCCGACTGCGCTGCACTGTCCAGAGACGGGGGATCCGCTTCCCAAACCAGGTGCGGACGTCGAGTTGGAGCGCATCGCATCAGCGCAACCACGCTCCGCCCGTCTGTAACACCTGGGGCGTGAGGTAGCGTTGTGGCCGGCTCCTCCGACTGCCTTTGATCGTCGACTTTTTTATCCGACAGCCTTCAGACGCAACCAATGCGCGCCCGCTGCGGTGTCGGAGAAGCCGCGCACTCTCGGGATTCTGCGGTCCGCCTAAACTCGCCGCCGATGCGCCACGCCGATTACAGTGACCGCGTCTCCCCTCGCCTCGCCAACGCATCCGCTAGATTTTGATTTTTTTTTTGGCTCGCCGTCGACAGTCGAGTGAATGCGGCGCCGGTCATGGCCCCTTCCAAAGTCACAATCTTGGCGGCAGCCGTCGTTCGGCCCATCCGCGTCGCTGCTTGCTTGCTTGCTTGCTTGGTTGGCACCGTCACAACCTCCGACGATGGCTCGGGTGCGAGAGACACGGCAGGATCCGAGGATCAGCTGCAGGAGCGGCAAGGCGGCAAAATCGTAGCCTTCCGCGGATGCGCAAGTGCAGGATTACAGTATATTTCGCCGGCGAAAGCCGGCCAGCCAGCAGAAGCGCCTCTGCCAAGCCTGTGGGCGCTGCGGTTTGCTGCAGGTTGCCACCTGCAATCGTTGCACCTCGCATTCCACCTCGCATCCCGCATCTCGCTTCGCCGCTCTCTGCCTGTAAGCTATCCGCTCGGCTCGGCACGCTGCGAAATCTCACGCCCCTCTCTCACCAGTCCCAACAGCCCTGCCCCTCGACATCGCGGCCGGGCCGCTCCCGAAGCGTCGTCTCTCTGCCTCAGCTTCGCCGCCTCGGTTTAGCAGTGCATGTCTCAGCGCTTCTAGCCTGGGACCGTTCATCTGGGTTTCGGAAGCGATTCTCGTCGTCACGGCAGCAGCCCCGACAGCGGCCCCGACAGCAGCACCCTATCTGCACGCTACGCTGCGGTACAGCACGCTCCCCTTCCGCATTCCTGCAGGCAGGCTTGGCTTCGACTCGGCTGTCTCTGCTTCGACACTGGTCGCGACCTCGCAACCTCGTCAGCTGCTCCTCCATCGACCATCATCTCCATCGTCTCGACCATCCGGGCGGAAGCCATTACGCTCATCCCCACCATTGCCCAACGTTTGCTTCTTCGTTTGCCAACATCATTTGTCGCCCACTTGTGCGGCAATACACTACACGCGGTGCTTTTCTCGCAAGCTCAACCGGCTTTGCTTTCGTCTTCATTTGCAACGGCCCCGCCTTTGGTCTTCTGAGAGCTTGGCTCGCCACACGCGCTTGCTCTCGAGAGCCGCGGGTCAAGCGCAAACATCCGCATCGCCCAGTCCATGCAACCAGAAGCCCACACATCGCTGCAACATACTTGAGGCGCCCGACGCCCCTCAGCCCTTCTCTGCCAGCAGCAGCCTGCCCCTCAACAGCTCGTGAGCGGCCAGCAGCCCGCCCACGCTACATAATCTCCGAGGCCGCCTTGTTCATCGCTGCATCGCAGCCTCTCTACATGCCAGCTTCTTGACCCAGCTTGCCTCGGTCGTCGCTCTTGCCGACGCGACAAACGCACCACCGAGTCGCTCCCCATCCTCCAAGCTGCCACACCGCCGAGCATGGGCTTCGAGATCAGTCTAGCTTCGCTCGTCGATCAACACGCCTCAGACTATGCCGATCTGTACCTCAACTCGAGTGGTGCCTCGTCGCCCTTGGCTCAGACCTACTTGAACAGCAGCCAGTTCGCCCTTCCCGTCAACCTCTCCGCGGTGCCCCAGATCTTCGTGGTCAACCCTTCGACCGACAACATCTTTCGTCATGTCAACCCGCAGAGCGCACACGCCGCCATCGTCGCGCTCATCTACTTCTCCATGTGGATGGGCGCCCTCGGCTGGGACATTGTCTCCACCATCCACTTTGACCTCCGCCTCGTCAAGGAGACATTGTGGTCCAGCAGCTTCTCCGCCCTCTACTCGGTCGCCTACCTTCTTTCGCGGTACATGAGTCTCGCATGGCTCATCACCGTCGTCACCAACAGCGTCATCATGACCAACCGATGCGACGCATGGATGAAGGGCAGCACCGCCATGTTCAGCGTCGCCATCAGCGCAACCATGCTCGTCTTTTGCCTCCGCACCTGCTCCATCTGGCACATGAAGCAGAAGGTCGTCTCGCTCGTCGTCTCCGCCTGGCTCATCGTCGTCTCGTTTGCCATCCTCCTCCCCGTCATGAGCAACGGCAACCAGCTGCCCACCTCCAACTTTTGCTCGTGGCACTTCAACGGCCTCTACGTCGTCGGCCTGTTTGGCGCCTTGCTGCTCTTCGACCTGCTCTGCCTCGTGCTCACCGTCTGCAAGCTCAACAAGGCCGGTTGGCGCGGCCTCGTCCACGGCATCTTTCCCTCCAGCCGCTACAACTTGGACGCCGAAGACGTCAAGACCATGCTCGTCCAAAAGACCACCGCCTTCTTCGCCATTCAGTTCCTCTTCCTCATCTCGGCCCTGCTCGTCTATGTTCTCACCGACACCTATTCCTACCGCATGATGAACATCGTCGCCAGCGTCGCCGTGGCTAGCTCCATGGCCGGGCGCATCTTCAGGCGCGCATGGCGCCAGACGCGAGAGCTCGCACCGCACAACCTCAACCGGCCGCCATCCTACTTTCCCGCCTGGGCTGAAGAGCACCGCGACACCACCGGCTTCGCCCGCCCCGAACGACGATCTAGCTCCAACCCGGGACTCGATCCACGTGCCGAAGCCACCGAGGCGGACGCACGCAACAAGCGCGACCATGACAAGCACGACTCGCTCGCCTTCTACGTCGAGGGCGAGTACAGGCCCAAACTCAAGTCGCGCTCCATGTCGAGTCAGTCGTTGCGCTCCGTGCCACGCACGCCCTTGTCCGGCGCCAACACACAGCAGCAGCAGATGCGAGAGATGGAGACGGGCCAGGTGGGCGCCGACCCGCACGCTGATCACGCCGGCGTCACCATCATTTCGCGCAACACGCTCGTGCCGCCCGCTGCGACCATTCCGCAGAACGGTCCGGCTCCCGCCTACTCGCGCCGTCTCGGCTCGGCGGGCTCTTCGCAGCCCAACACGGGCGATCAAAGGTCGTTGGGATCCAGCCCGAGCCGCGAGATGGCGGCGCTCCCGCGCGGCGCCATCAGCGGCTCGCTCGTATCGATCTCTAGCCATCGCGACGATGCTGGCTCGAGCACCGCTCAGGGCGCCGATCGACCGGGTCGAGCGAGCCACGAGGCGTGGCCCGACCTCGTCGGCGGCTTGGTGCGCGAGGACAAGACCATCGCCCGCCAGAAGAGCAGCTCGGCGATCGAGGAGCGACGCCGCACATTTGTGGCCTCGCCGCCCATGACGGCGCGCGTGGCGCTCAACAGCAAGGAGGTGTACGACGTCGACAGCGTCAAGGCTGCGGCGAGGTTCGGTGGGAGGCATGGGCAGCAGCACGAGTCATTCACACGGCCTGCCACCGCATCCTCGGCGATCCGATCCGCGGGGCCGGACGCGGCATCCTCTGGGTCGTTGCCAGCGCAGCGAAGCGGAATGCGCAGTGAGGAAGGACGACCCATGGACGACGACGTCCTGGGCAGCGGGATGCAGCATACCGGAGGGACGCGACTGGCGTTCCTACGGACCGAGCCAAGGACACAGGAGGAACGCACGCCGCGACCCAAGACGGCGCCGAACGCTTCGTCGCCTTCGCTCTCGCCGTCGGGATCGATCACGTCGCAGATGACGGTGATGCCGCGCGACTTTGGGCTGGACAGCGGCGACACGGAGCCGCGGCGGACGCAGACCGCGCCGACCTCGGAGGACGACGTGCTGTTCGCGTTTCTAAACACCGTCGAGGAGGATGCGCAGGACCGAGCTGCATCGTCGCGCGGCGGCGAGGCCAACGCCGACGGTAGCCCGTCCAGCCTCGTCGAGGACGGCCGGCCGCGTACGGCGCGCGGCAACACGGCGTCGAGCCGGCACAGCAGCGACGCGGATGGCGGCTCGAGCGATCTGAGCACGGTGCTCGGGCACGAGAGCAGCGCGCGGGCGTCGTTGCAGCGCACGCAGGTGTCGAGCGAAAAGCCGCGTTCGGGCTCAGCATCACGTCGACGGGTGGGAACGAGCGAGAGCAGCCGAAGCGAGCGCAGCGGTAGCGGCACGCGGCCATCGACGGCGGTGGGCGAGGCGGTCAAGCCGTTTGGCTACGGCGTCTCTGCGCGCGGTCCGCGAACACGCCCGATGCGCGCCTACGCGAGCGACGAAGAGGCGGACGAGGGCGAGCTGGGGTCGGTGATCCAGCAGCAGTATGCCAAGCTCGCTTTGCGCGCCGGGATGCCTTTGGACCCGGCGTGACGGATGCGCCGATGCGATTGCACGGTATCTCGCGGGGGTTCAGGGTTGATAGTTACGCTCATTGGGTCATAATGCACACAGTCTTTTGCACGTTTTCAGTGCGTTTGTGGGGATAATGGTTGATGTTTCGTAGGTTGAATGCTGGTGTCAGTCGGTAAGTGGTGGTGCCGAGGAATCTAGGGATCTTCGCAACATCTCTTGGAGAGCCTCTGGGTCTGCGGCAAATTCTGCCTTTCGAACGGTGATTGCATAGAGGACTGGAGCGGAGGACGGAGGTGAGTGACTTTGCGTCACGACGATCGAGCAAGGGAGGGTGATGGACTTACTGTGTTCGATTTTCTGGAGACTCTGTCTGGTGACGGCTTGTTTCTTGCGTAGTTCGTTGACGAGGGGGATGAAAGGGTCGAGAGTGTCATGGAGGCATCTTGTGATGCCTAGTACATGATGCACTACCCTGCCAGTGTCACCTTGACCGACAGCGTTTGTTGCGAACCGCATCAGTTCGCCCGTGAGGTCTGAAAGGCCCAACAGATATCGATGGATTGGAACCTTGAGTACATCTCGAAAGCGTTCCTGAACCTCTTGCAGCGTGATGAGCTTTGTTGTCTTAAGATAGTGGTAGAACGACAGAGCTTCGATGAACTCTTCCAGACCGCCGCCAATGTTTCGTTCGTGACGGTCGTGGCGCTCTGGCAGGGCGAGTTGCTCCGCCGCGGCTGCCTGTTTCAGCACGCCGACAATGTGGTTGAGTTTGGATTCGGCTTCTTCGAGCAATTTTTGGGTGGCGGATGATGGGTCGGGGGCAAAGTCGCCAACGTCGAAACGGTGGAGGAGAAAGATGACCTTTTTCGAGAGACTGGTGACGTCGCGCGAGGTCTTGATGAGGCGCTCGCGCCGGTCGTTGTAGTCGTCAATCTCGTCGCGAAACAAGCCGAATGCTTCAAGCACAGATGCTGCAGCGGGAGCCGGAGATGCGTCGGATCGCAAGCGCTTCGTCGACGTCGATCCCGATGCCATGTCCGATGGCCCGGATGGCCGCTTCAGTGCGGGTTCATCCGACATTCTGCCAGACAAGGTGACGAGAAGGAAAGAGGCCAAGGAAGGGTCGAGGATGCGCCAAAACCTCCACCTGGGCCAAAAAGAAAGACCCCGCCGAGTTCCGAAACTTGGGCGCGCAGCTTGGCAGCAGCAAGGAGACGTGGCTGCAACTTTTTTTGGGGACGGGTGTGCGGTGCATGCGCGGCTGAGTCGGCCCCACACTCTGACCCTGCACACTTGCATGAGGCCAAGCTGTCTTTCACACTGTCATCGCTCACCACACCCTCATCCACACCCTCCATCTGCGACCCCATTATTTCTGCAACTTTGCTGGCGACAAGGAGCAATTCGAGGGATCAATATGGTGCGCACGGCATCAACGTGGCAAGAAGCCGAGGAGAACATCGTCTCATGTACAGCGCAGATCCTCAACCAAGCGATCGAGATCCTGCGCTCCGGAGCGATCGACGATGCATCCTACACATTCTCGAGCCGAGTGATCGCCGGCTCAACACCAGGCAAGCATTTCCGACATGTGCTCGACCACCTCCGAATCCTGCTCGACTCGATCGAGGCATGGCAAGCTCGCTCGTCTAGCGTGCTTCGCGTCGACTACGATTCGCGCATGTCGTCCAAGGTGGCCCACATCGAGACGTCAGTAGCGGCGTCGCTGCGCGAATTCGAACGAACCAACAGTCGGTTCTACCGCATCTTTGAGGGGTCCAAGGGCGAGCTGTATACGCAGCCACTGCGACTTTGTGCCACGACGCCATTCGTGGTGGAGATGGACAGCACCGTGGGCAGGGAGCTGTGGTTCTGTGGGCTGCATGCCATTCATCACTATGCGCTCGCGAGGGTGATGCTTGTCAAGGAAAGAGGACTCGAGGGGATCGACGACCAGTTCGGCGTGGCTCCGAGCACGCTCGTGCATCGCGAGTGGAGGAGGGAGACGATTCGAGCAGGGCCGGCCGAAGACAGCTTGCAACTGCCAGCTACAACAGCGCAGCGACAGAGACAGGCGGGTGCAGATCAGCGACAGCACTCGTCACCACGCCATGCATCGCTTCGGAGCAAACTGTGACGTCGTGGCCCCTGACAACTCGATGCATTTGATGTTCGATGTGATTGCAGAGTGTGAACAAGAGTGGTCCTTGAGCGCAGGACCCTGAGGTGTTGCTTGGATTTAGGAGCGCTCGGAAAAGAAAAAGGTGGACCAGAAATTCGAAGCCAAAAAAGGAGGCTCTGAAACTGCGCTGCAAAAAAAAAGAGGCGAGCTGACTTGGACCGTCATGGCTGGCGCGTGTGCATGCAAAGCACCGATGCTATCTTCTGTCAGCAAGAGCCGATATGCGAGCGAAGCTTCGGGGCAAGGCGAACGCCACGTTGGAAGGAGAAGGAAAAAAAAAA